CCAGGATGGTCTCGATCTCCTGACCTCGTGATCCGCCCGTCTCGGCCTCCCAAAGTGCTGGGATTACAGGCTTGAGCCACCGCGCCCGGCCAATGTTGGTAATTTTTAAAAGATATATTGGACAAACCGAATGAATGTTTGAGGGCCATGCGTTTGAAGACTGTAAATGGGCTCCTGGGACCAAGCGTTTGAGATGAGGGATTGGGGCCTGGTTGTCAGCAGAGGGCCCCTTCCTGCCAGTCTGGTTCTGTATCCAGCTGGGAATATCTGGTCCTCCTGGTCCTGACCCTGGCATTTGCTTAGAGCCTCGAGCTTAGGATGTGGCCAAAAGGGAGACAAAGATTCTTCTCCCCTGGAGGCAGAGAGGGATGTGAGGCCCAGCCCCAGGACTGGCCACAGAGCCAAACCTTACAGTGGTACCAGGGATAGCCTGGGCTTGGCCCTGGGCCACACTTGGAGGAGTGGCCTGTGTTTCTTTAGCTGGTACAAAGAGATGGGTCATGGACTGGCCTCTTTCTGTGAGGAATGGGTTTGGCACTGCCCCTACCCCATCACTGAGGCCTTCCTGTCATTCCCCTCCCCCAACCTCAGGTGTGTTCATGCTCCCTGCTCAGCAGGCCTCCTGGGGACCAGGGCTTGATGGGCTGACCCCTGGAAACCACGGCCTCTTGAGGCCCTGTTGGTGGGAAAAACCCAGGTGTTTGCGTCCCCCTCCAGTGGCTACTCAAGGGGTGTGCCAGTGGGAACAAAGATGCCCCAACTGTTGGTCTCCTTGTGTGTCTTTTTTTTGAGACAGGATCTCACTCTGTCGCTCAGGCCGGAGCGCAGTGGTGTGATCATGGCTCACTGCAGCCTCCAAATCCTGGCACCAGGTGACCCTCCCATCTCAGCCTCCTAAGTAGCTGAGATCACACGCATGCGCCACCATGCCTGGCTAACTTTTTTATTTTTTGTAGAGACGGGGCCTACCTATGTTCCCCAGGCTGGTCTCTAACTCCTGGGCTCAGCCCCCCAAAGTGCTGGAATGACAGGTATGATTCCACCATGCCCAGCCTCTCTTTGTGTCTTAAGCCTTTTCTCTCCCCACTCCCTACCCCCATGTGCTGCAGTTAATGATCTTTAACATCAGCGCCACCGTTCTCTACATCACCGCCTTCATCGCCTGCTCTGCAGCAGTTGACCTGACATCCCTGAGGGGCACCCGGCCGTATAACCAGCGTGCGGCTGCCTCGGTGAGTCTGCTTCCCAGGCTCCCTCGGTGGTCTGCAGGGTCTCGGCCCCAGGACTCACGCTGCTTGCTTGGTCTGAGGCCAGGCACCTGCCACCTCCTGAGGAGTTGTCACCTGAATGCTCAGTGGGTCTCAGAGGGGAGCTGGGCTGCCTCCAGGCTTCCATAATTAACAGTGGGGAGTGGTGTGTGGTGGGCAATGGAAGTTTTGGGTTAACTATTTTTTTTTTTTTGAGATGGAGTCTCGCTCTGTTGCCCAGGCTGGAGTGCAGTGACGCAATCTTGGCTCATTGCAACCTCTGCCTCTTGGGTTTAAGTGATTCTCCTGACTCAGCCTCCCAAGTAGCTGGGACTACAGGTGTGTGCTGCCACACCAGCTATTTTTTTTTTTTTTGAGATGGAGTCTCACGCCCGGCTTATTTTTGTATTTGTAGTAGAGATGGGGTTTCACCATGTTGGCCAGGCTGGTCTTTCGAACTCCTGACCTCAGGTGATCCACTCGCCTCGGCCTCTTAAAGTGCTGGGATTACAGGTGTGAGCTACCACACCCTGCCTGGGTTAACTATGGAACCTTGTTGTAAATCAACTGTGCCACACTGACTTAGGGTCATGTGCCCCCTTGGAGAATGTGAAAAACTGGATGCTCTCCCACTGACAAGTGCACGTGCAAAAACCTTTTGGTTTAAACCATTCTGGGAGATTCATAGGCTCTCCCATGAAACCCAGACTCCAGGCCCACGTCAGGTGGCCAGTGAAGTGGCTGCAGTCCCCTCCACGCCTGTCACCCTTCATGCCACCAGGCCCTGCACACCATCTCCTCCCAGGATCCTGCGACACCCACAGTGAGGGAGAGGAAGGGACTACCAGTCCTTTTTGACAGACAGGAGGCTCCCGCTCAGAGAGGTTGGACTCCAGGCCTGGAGCCACGGCCAAACCCAGGGGAGGGCAGGGCCTCGATGGGCACTCATTTGGTTCCTTACTCTTCCTGATGAGGGCAGTTTTGAAATCAGCAAATTCAGTGATGGGGACAGAGACGGGGAGCTTCTGAATGTGGCTGCAGGTGTTAGTATAGAGGCGTGAACTGGTTCTAGAAAAATTCCTAGGCTGGCCTTTGAATGTTGTCTTTTTAGAACTAAATCCTTGCTAGATGTCCCCTCTGTCACTCTTATCTTGTCCTTCATTGTCCTTATCACAATCTGATAGGCCCCGCCTGTGGTTCTTAGCTGTTTCCCATGCTTAGAAGGTAATGTTGGCATCCCAGGACCCTGGTGCTCATCAGCTCCATGATAAACAGCTGTGAAATACATCTGGCTGAGTGTGAGATGGTACAGCTGCCATAACCCCTCCTGCCTGGCCTGAGATCTGGTTGGAGCTTGTGTCACTGTTACCCTCTTGGTCCTTACACCCTTCTCGCCTCTCTTTCAGTTCTTTGCATGTTTGGTGATGATCGCCTATGGAGTGAGTGCCTTCTTCAGCTACCAGGCCTGGCGAGGAGTAGGCAGCAATGCAGCCACCAGTCAAATGGCTGGCGGCTATGCCTAAACCACCTGTGCCACGGCCCTCTCTGGGGCTGAAGCCGCCGCTGGGTCACAGAGCAGGGTCACCCTGCAAGCCCAAAGCTGGGGAGCCCTGCGCGGAGTCAACCTGACAGCGACTGCACTTGCTCCTCTCTGCCCATCAGACACAAGCTCTCACAGCGCTAAGGAAGCAGGCCCAGGCTGGCAGGCATCTGGGCTTGCAGGAGGCCAACCGCTGAGACCTCCTCTCCATCCCCCTTATTCAGTGGAAGGTGACGGGGGATCTGAGGCTGTGTCTCTGCCTTGTCTTTAGAGGACTTCAGCGTCCAAGACTGGGGCCTACCCTTCTCACCAGCACTAAATGCACTAACAAGGACTCCTGACCTGCAGCCCCAGACTCGCCGTAGTATAAGCCTAACAAGCAACATGTAGCACCTTAGTCTTCGTTCCAGGAGAGCTGAGCAAGCTCGTGAAACCATTCTCCTTCCTTTAAACACC